TACTTCCTTAAGTGATTTCATTAGAACGTATACTTTGTACATGATTTCAGTGACTTTTAATCCCAAGTTATTTTTCTTTCCCTACCAAGCATGCTTTTCTTTCTCCACAGTGCTGGGAATGGAGAGCTTCAAATATGTTTTCTGGGAGAATGAATGTTGTCAGTTTATGTAAGAAGATTCTGTCAGCCTCAGCTGAATGTAAGAAGATAAAAGTTTTCTTCCAAACCAGTGGAACACATCAGAGCTAAAGGCAAACTTTTTGTATCATTTACCATTTTATATCTGTGCCACTGGGTTGTCCTCCTTCTTGCTGCCTTTAGTGGGAGCAAGCACAGAACATTATAACTAAATCTGTTCTGGCTATATTGTGTTACATGAAGTTAACTTTTTCTCTGATAATTTTTGTAGTTTAGTCTGTTTTTTTTTTTCTTAGAAAATTTGGCTGCTTATTCATCTGATCAAGCTTGTATCAAGGATGTTTGATCCCATGTGACCTAATTTTCTGTCTTGTTTCACAATGTGCTGAAGAAGGTTGGTTGATATACACTCCTGTTTGGAGTCCCTGGTACTGTCAATGTTCAGTCATGGCCTGGAATGAAGGAACAAAATGATGAAGGTTGTATATGTTACTATTCTTAGGGAGTGAGACCATAAATCAAAGCAGTTTTATTGGCCTGGAACTGAATCACGGCTCTTCAAACAGTATTTAAATTGTATAGGTATCTTTGTATAACACTTAAACTGTATGTAGCTGGATGTTCTTTCTTTTTTCTTTTTTTTTTTTGTAAACTGGTTTTCTTTCTGATTAATAGCCAAGGGAACAATCACTTAAGATTTTTGGAGTTCAAATGCTTAAACTGGAAACTTTCATCTTCCTTTTAAATGAGTAGTTGGCCACATGAATGAGTGAGACTTTCTTGTTTTCCTGAAGTAGAGTTGGGGGAGACAAGTAAAAGGACAGCATTTGTGCTCTAGTTTTACAGATGGAGAAATAGGTCTTCACAAAGACCATGAAGGTAATGCTGGAACTGGAAACAGAACTCTAGAGTTCTGTTATCTTTGTTTTGGGGTACACTCGATGCTTTTGAAAAGGGATGAAGTATACCTTGGTTTGAAAAGAAATGATCATAGGGGATTTATGGAAAACGTCTCTAGAAAAAAGCAGTGTCTTTGACCTACAGATGTGAGCTGGCATGAAATTCAGGGTGTGGTGGGTTCTGGTCTAGGAGCTATGACGTGTTTCAAACAGTGCATGTTCCTAATTCTTCCAATTAAGAATTTCTGAGCGGTTTTGCGAGGTGATACTCAAAGAGAATATGAACAAGAGGATAGGACTAAATATTGTGATCTTAGTTTTTGACTGTCAGACAAGACAGAAAATAGGCTTCTGTTTTATTTTTTTTAATTTAAATTCAATTAATTAACATATAATGTATTATTAGTTTCAGAGTTAGAGTTCAGCGATTCATCAGTCTTACATAATACCCCGTGTTCATCACATCACGTGCCCTCCTTAACATCCATCACCCCCTCCCCTCTCTCCTCCCCTCCAGCAGCCCTCAGTTTGTTTCCTATGATTAAGAGTCTGTTATGGTTTGTCTCCTCTGATTTTGTCTTGTTTTATTTTTCCCTCCTTTCCTCTATGATCCTCTGTTTTGTTTCTTAAATTCCACATATGAGTGAGATCATATAATTGTCTTGATCTGACTTATTTCGCTTAGCATAATACCCTCTAGTTCCATCCACATCATTGCAAATGGCAAGATTTCAATTTTTTTGATGGCTGAGTAGTATGCCATTGTGTATATATATACACGCCACATCTTTATCCATTCATCTGTGGATGGACATCTGGGCTCTTTTCTATAGTTTGGCTATTGTGGACATTGCTGCTATAAACATTGGGGATCACTTTTGGATTACTACATTTGTATCTTTGGGGTAAATAGGCTTCTGTTTTAGATAAAATAAAAAAACTACTTAGGTGCTGACAGTGAACATGTAGAAAAGCAAAGCTGTGGGAATTAGGAAATAAGTAGAAAGTCTGTTTCATGTTCTGAATAAATATTGGATACAAATTTGCATAAAGTTCAAGAGTATCCACATTTCAGTGTGGGACTTAATATAAATAAGTCTTGGCTTGTAGCTCATTGTCCTGCTAAAACCTAACATATTTTGATAATTGATCCCTTGAATTTTAAGGAAAAGAAAATAATGCATTAAAACCACCCTTTCCCTTTCTCTTCAGTATTACAAGTGCACTCTTGTGCTATTCTTCTAAGTGGGTAAGCATCAGGGCTAGGCTATACTTAGGGAGTTGTTCCTGATTCAGACGATTAACGGTGAAAAATATTTCTGTTTATGGGTATTTTTAGATGGAACAGGCAGTGGACCATCTGAAGCAGTTCATTCAAGTGTACCTGCTACTGAGTATCTTCACTAGAGTTTTATACAATAAACTTTTAGACCCTCGGGGGGAAAGCAGCTTAGTTTGGTGCAAACAACAAGGTTCCAAATTCCAAAGATTCTGGGTAATTAACCTAGGTTTGTTTTACTTCTCTTTTACAGATGAAATGATAGAAATGACCTAATGAATTTTTTTGATAAGACTTTGTGACAGTGGGGACTATATATGTTGGCAGTATTTTGGTGGTGGGGGGGTTAGTGTGATGATTTGATGTGTTAATGTTGAAGCAGAGGAGAAATTTCCATAGTGCCAGACATATATGGGTCATTATCCTTGGTTTGCCCCTCCTCCTTTCTTTCTTTTTTTTTTTTAAATTTTATTTATTTATGTGACAGAGAGACAGCAAGAGAGTGAACACAAGCAGGGGGAGTGGGGGGGAGTGGGAGAGGAAGAAGCAAGCTTCCTGCTGAGCATGGAGCCGAACGCGGGGCTCGATCCCAGGATCCTGGCATCATGACCTGAGCCGAAGGCAGATGCTTAATGACTGAGCCACCCAGGCGCCCCTGGTTTTCTTTTTTTAAAGATTTATTTATTTCCTTTTTTAGAGAGAGAGCAAGGGGGAGGGGCAGAGGGAGAGAGAATTTTTTTTTTAAGAACCTTTATTTTTTAAAGATTTTATTTATTTGAGATACAGCAAGAGCAAGTGAGAGAGAGAGCGCCAGAGAGCACGAGCGGGGCGGGGGGGGAGGGTCGGGGTCGGGGTAGGGGGGATGCTGGGCAGAAGGAGAGGTCAGAAGCAGACTTTCCACTGAGCAGGGAGCTCAAATCGGGGCTCAATCCCAGGACAGTGGGATCATGACCTGAGCCAAACGCAGATGCTCAACCAACTGAGCCACCCAGGTGCCCCCAGTAGAGAGAATCTTAAGCAGGCTCCCTGCTGAGCTCGGACCCTGACTTGGGTTTTGATCCCAAGATCCTGAGATCACGACCAGAGCTGAGACCCAAGAGTCAGACACTTAACCGACTGCGCCACCCAGGCACCTCTCTTTAGATCTTTTTTAAGAAAGCATTTGAATATTTAAGTTACCATTCTGACTGTCTTTGACTAGCCAAATACGGCTTACATCACTTTCTGATAAGACAAAGTTTATTTAGGGTTTAGAGAATACAGGGAGCAAGAAAATAGTTGAAAATGTCTATTTTAATAGGTAGTTAAAATATATTTTTAAGAAGTACGATAAAGTGGATGATAAAATACTTTAGGATGGTAAAAAAAATAAAAGTATATAAGGCAGTCTCTAAAGTATATTATTACTATTATTATTATTTTAAGATTTACTTATTTGAGAGAGAGAGCACAGGAGCGAGTGCATGAGCTGGGGGAGGGGCGGAGGGAGAGAAACTCAGACTCCATGCAGAATGTGGAGCCCAGCTGGGGGCTTGATCTCACCACCCTGAGATCATGACTTGAGCTGAAATCAAGAGTCAGATGCTTAACTGACTGAGCCATCTAGGCACCCTTAAAGTGTATTCTTTCTTTTTCTTTTTTAATAATTTATTTATTTATTTGATAGAGAGAGAGAGAGAGAGAGCATGAGTGGGGGGAGGACAGAGGGAGAAACAGACTCCCCGCTGAGCTGGGCAGTGAGCCAGACATCTATCCCAGGACCCTGGGATCATGACTTGAGCCTATGGCAGACACTTAACCGACTGAGCCACCCAAGTGCCCCTAAGTGTATTCTTTCTTATCACTGCCAATGCTTGATATTTATTTAAAAGAAAGATTCATGGTACTGAAGGAAATAGAAGCTGATTTAATGGAATTGTTCCAGTTATTCGAATTAATATTTCTGTTAAATGCCTGGGAATATTAACTTTTATTTGGAACCATTGGTAGTCAAAAAATAGATTAGAAATACTGTAAAACTGGGGCGCCTGGATGGCTCAGTCGTTAAGAGTCTGCCTTCGGCTCAGGTCATGATCCTAGGGTTCTGGGATCGAGTCCCACATTAGGCTCCCTACTCGGCGGGGAGCCTGCTTCTCCCTCTCCCACTCCCCCTGCTTGTGTTCCCTCTCTCGCTGTGTCTCTCTCTGTCAAATAAATAAAATCTTTAAAAAAAAAAAAAAGAAATACTGTAAAACTTCATTGTAAATTCCTAGTCTGCAGTTGATTTATACTGTGATTCAGTTTGTGTCTTCTACATGTATATAGTAAAAAAATAACAGTTTTTGTACCCATCAGTTTTATAATCTTATACTGTTCTGATAACTAGTGGAGATTTTTCATTAGATTTGAAGAGAAAATTAGATCATGAATTTATTCCAGTTTTTAAAAAATCAACCCAAATTAAAAAACAAAAATCTGACATTCTTCCTCTCAGTGGGAGATCTCCAGGGGGGAACTGCTTAGGAAGCCATTCTGCGAACTTCTTATCGAATTCTTTATTTGCCAGAGTGTAATAAAAAAAACTATCCTTGGAATCAGCAAGTACATGTAACATTTCTTCACATCAGCTTGTATACTGCGTATTACTCTGAAACTGTATGCTTAGCTTTCTAATGAAAGACTTTTATTTCTTCCTTTCTTTTATAGGAATATATTTGTCCCAGATGTGAATCAGGCTTTATTGAAGAAGTGACAGATGATTCCAGGTATTGTACAAGCTCATGAATAAATCAGGCGTTCTGTTAACCAAATTATTTTCTATCAGCATCAGCTGAATGAATAGAAAGAAATTTGTCTTAAAACTTATGCTCTCTGCATAAGAGGGAGAGAGGGAAGAAGAGGGAAGGGTAATAAAAATGGGAAAATTTGGGATGTGATCTGATAGTGGGTGTGATGAGATCCACTGCTTCTGATTGTGTGTGGCATTCCTTTGAAACCTCTATATCCATATCAGAGTAAATCTGGTAAATTTTTATTTATTTTCTGAGTCTTTGGTGTCCCTTTAGATTATTGGGTGGTTTTTAGTGACCATGCTGTTGCCTAAAGGTAAATCGCTGTTATACCTCTTTGGTTGGCTCGGGAGTGACTTCTGACAAAGATATCTATCTAATAAGGTAAACAGGCTGGTCTAGCCAGGGAAACTGAGTTATTACTCTGCTTTGAGGAAGCCTTAGGATCCTTATTCTTACTAAAATTATTGCAGTCAGACTTACGCCATCTTATTGCTGTAATATTAATTGGGTTCATAATGCTTGAAATTGGCTCTCATTGGTCTTACTAAAGATATAAAACCCATAAAAGGGGGAACTATTTCTGAAGGTGACAGTATTTTATAATACTTCTTGGTTAATATGAATAAAACTATAAAAACTTAATAAAAAGTAGAATAGCATTGGTAGGGTGGCCTTTTTTGGCACATTTGTTCTTTTGTGGCTATGTGATTAGACAATTTGGACAATTGAAGAAATCTGACTGGATTAAAAGAACCTGTAATCTGAAGCTTCTTTTAATCTTGGAGTGACTTTGGAGATTTTAATGGACGTAAATAATTCCTTTACTGTTGCTGTTGGCAGACTCTAAAGTTGAAGGTCGCTTCCACAACCAGGAAAAACTACACATTTTACAGTATGTACTATTAGTTTAACTTTATTAATGAGTGGTAATTATATATATATAAATGAACTGGAGCTTCTGGGGCAGTATATGGCATGGGATCAAGTTTGGAACACTTACATGGTGATCTAATAATCTTGGTTTTGAATAACAATACCAGCTCTAAACCTGTAAGATTAGCATGACAGTGAAATGAGAAATTTTGTGTGAATAGCATGCTAACTTGGGGCAGCTTTTTATGTATGCTGTTGTAATGGCATCAAATACTTATGCAAACCCTTGTGTTCTGCATGTGTTAAATAAAGAGCATATTGGTTGTTGGGAGGCAGTTAATGGATTTTCTTTTTCCTAAGTTTTTTAAGTAGTAATCCTGGTTTCTTTAGCCCTGTGTACAAAGTATGGTTATAAATGCGGATAGTGATTACCTGCAGGATGAATCTTTTTTTAGAAAGGAACTATGAACTTTATGGATCCTGCTTTCACTTGATTTAATTCTTTTATTTGTGCCTTTGTAGGCCAAAGATTGACCTGTACAGGTGCTATTAGTAGCAAATGCTCAAATGTACAGATTTGATGTCTTTTGAAGGATCGATGTTTTAAATGGTGGAAGAAATGTTTTTCTTAGAATCAGTATCTTAGAGGTAGCATGGTATTCACTTTCTATTAAGTTCATAAACATTTGCTGATTTTTGAATACTTAGCGATTACAGTGGTAAGTAGTGGATGGTAAAAATTACTGATAGGAGGTCCTTACAGGTAAATGTTGGATAATGGGCTCCATGTGCTGCTAGACATTGATCAGAAGGGCATCTTGTAAGTTTTCTTAAGTTTTGTAACATCTCTCGGAACAATGTGGTTGTTTTTATTATCCCTCCTCTATGATTAGCCCTGTCACTCTTAAAATATGGAGGAATTTGAAGGAAAGGGAATGCTGAGGAAGTTTCAGGGGGAGCAGAACTATAAAGACAGAGTTGATAGCTTTAATTACCAAGGATATTTGAATCCCTGAAACAATGTAGTAAAGGCAGGAAGGAGCTTGGGAAGCCTGTCTAGGCTTGAGCAATAAAATGGGTACACGGTGGTAGTTGAATTATTTACTTATTTAGCATAAATATACCAGTACATCTGGGCTTGTTCTTCATTTGAATGTTTTTAACTTCTGAAACAAATGCAAGTGTTTAATGGTTTCTAATTAGTGAATAAGGCCTGAGCATGACTACATAGAAAATGGCATTAGCTTTGCTTTTTCACTTTTGGTTTCAGACTAACCAAAGTGTGTTTGTTTCCTCAATTAGCTGAGCGCAGTGCCTGGATTGGTGTTCAGAAAATGAAAGCTATCTGTAGTAGTTTGTAGACTTGTATTTGGGGTGAGTGTGTGTACACGTTTGTGCATAGGCTTGTGTTTCTTGAAGTAAAAGTGATAACTAGTAGTTCTTGTGATTCTTCCAATTCCTTTCCCCACAAAATGTTAGCCATTTTACTCTCCTTTTTTGCAGATTTCATGGGAACAGTGGGATCTAATATTTCTCCCTAGTCTTTAGGAGTAGTTATTTTATTGTTTACACTTTTTTTTTTTTTTAAGTAATCTCTACACCCAACGTGGGGCTTGAACTTACAACCCTGAGATCAAGAGTCACATGCTCTACCGACAAGAGTCAGCCAGGCGCCCCTATTTACACATTCAGTATTAACTCAACAACTTTTATTTTCAAGTTATCGATATATGATGTGACGTTGCAGGGTTTTTCAAAAGTGATGAGTGCTCTGTATAATGTCTGACACACAATAAACACTTTACCTATATGTGTGGTATTAACATAGTCTTTACCCTCTGAATTTATAGATACATATATATGTGTTTTATTTATATATATGTTTTTAAGATTTTATTTATTAATTTGAGAGAGAGAGAGAACGAGCAGAGGGGAGGGACAGAGGGAGAGGTAGACGGATGCAAGACTCCATTCCAGGACCCTGGGATCATGACCTGAGCTGAAGGCAGACGCTTAACCGACTGAGCCACCCAGGCGCACTGAATTTATATTTATGAAAGGAGGGAAAGGGTTAGAAGTGGATGAGATAAATTCTAGATATTTATAATAAGGTAGAATTTAGAATCAGTCAGAGTGCAGAGGGGTGTGGATCCTCGTTTGGTTGGTGAGTTCAGAAAAGGAGGAGGTAGCATTTGAGATGGGCCCTGAAGGATGGGTAGGATAATGAAAGAATAGGATAAACTATCAAGAAAAAAATATTTATTGAGATCTTTTATAATGTGCTAACTATAGTACCAGACGCCTTATAGTACTATATTTAATCATTCCCAAGTAGGCTCAAATGTTGTGTTCACCTGGTGGTTGAATGATTTTTTAGCAAACATTATTTTGAGAATCTTGTTTTATTTCTTTGCCTCCTTGAGAATAAATGTTTTTCTTCTTTTGCCAGATCAAATTTGAATTGCATTGCTGGCTGTAGTTCCTTCTTCCTACTTTGTGGTGGCCCGTCTTTCCAATTTTTCACTTGATTTGTACTTGATTTTGTAGTTTGTTACAATATTTTTCATAGATTAATCCACATGCCAGTTCTTCATAATTTCCTTCGTAGGTGTCACGTTGGGATGAGTTATTTTTCCTTATTGGGCCTTGTTCTCATTGTACCATTCTATATTTAGCTTCTGGGAGGGAAGCTTGTTCCTAGGAATAGAATCAGTACTCATTCCTTTTTCTCTTCAGTTTTTTAGGTAGTGGTGGCAGCCGGATAGACAATAGCACATCAACACATTTTGCAGAGGTAAGTTTTCCTTTGGCTGTAGGGATTCCGTATGTAGTAGGTGGATGTTAAAACCATGACAGATTTTCACCTCCCAGTGCAGCAAAACATCAGAATGTATAAGAAAAATGTGGGCAAGAGTAGCCCTTAGAAAGATTTGTGTTTTTAGTAGTTGGGCCTTTGGCATGTTACTTTTGGTAAACCAAAAGAGAGAGGAAACTCCTTGATCTGTGTTGTTTTAAACCTGGTGGTGTTTTCAATTCTGTTTTCTACTTCCTTAATTGTGTATATTGTGTGAGAGAAGAAAAAAGCTTGTGTTGTTTGTGAAATAACAGTGCTATAGACTGCTTTGGTGGTGTGACAGCCAAGTAAAGAGCAGGCCAGAATGAGTTGTAATTGAAGTCACCATTCAGCTTTACACAGAGGTACTGGTTTTTAGAGATGGCCTCTAACAAACATGGTGGTTTGGTATGATTGGAATTGGGGGCCAGGTTCAGGATATGGTATTTACTTGCCTTCCAGATCTCAAGGTGGGACCTATAATTAATTTCCAGTTCTGTATGTAATGTAGCATTCACAGTTCTGGGAAAAAAATCTTAACTGTGATTTGAAAATAAGGCATTAGTTTGCATCTTGGAATACCATTTTACATTAAATTCAGAGTAATTTTTTTTTTTCTCATTTCATTCATTGATTCAAAATCTCTTGTTTAGTTTTTTTTGGACCATTTTAACCATTTTTAAGTGTACAAGTAAGTGGCATTAAATTCTGTTTTTAATCATTTCGAGCCCATAAAAAAGACAGACCATCTATCTCATCGTACAAGAAACACTGGTTTGCTTTTGCTTCTATTGCCACACAACTTGGTTGGCTTTAGAAAGCTAACAGATGCTAAAAGAAAAAAATATTAAATCCCATAATCATGATTTGTGTGTGTGTGTGTGTGTTTCATGATCACATTAGCCTTTTCCAGAGAAATCTCAGCTGCCTAGAAAGCTAGCAAAATTTTCTGATATTTATTTATTTGTGGGTAAAGTAAAACTGTTAGCAGTGCATTGGACAATTGGTGTTCAGTAAGAAGCCCATAAAACCCTAATCCTCTCTCCTTTATCCTCTGAAAATTATCTTAAGATCTGTAGTCCCCTAGATTTTTATGTTAGAATTATACTCAGGAAGCTTGCTTAAATGTTTGAGTAAAATTCCTGTTTTACTAAGGATATTTTCTTTTACTTATAGTCTGTGTACTTCTTAATATCCAGTTTTAAGTTTTTTGGTTAACTCTGAAGTGCCTTAGTACATGGGCCGATTAGAGTGTGCTTTGCAAGACTTTTCATGTCTTTGAACTCCTATTTTTCTCGTTTTGATGGATTGAAAAACATTATTTAAAATTTATTATGCTTGCCAGGCCTGGAAGCCTTTTTGATTTTAGTATGTGTTTCCCTGTGTGTGCTATTCCTGATAACACAGATTGTTGCTTACTGATTATGCATATGCTGAAGAAACTTCATCTGATTTTCTTTAAATGTAAGTCTCTTAGGAAATGGAAAAACATTGGTCTGTCAGTTTTATAGATATGACTCATCGGGGGAGATGCATTAAGAAGAAAAATAAATATAGGTAGTCATTGTCCTAACTTTAGTATTGCTAAATCTGTCACTGGTGGCATGAGCTATCCTTCAGGTGTTAATTTTGCCGAATCATAGCCTGTGGCTTCATGTCCCTTAGGGTTTATAGCAAGGGCGGGATTATGCCCAGTTTTCACTCTGTAGAATTCCCTTGTCGTCATGCCTGAGTATGTCAGTTTGCTCCTTTTTTAATTATATTTTGCATTTAAAAAATAGAAAAAAACCCTGTCTTTATGATACAGAAATTGCCAGGGATTTAAATCAGTCAGCTTCTTAGCTGAATGTTTTATACACAGCATTCTGCTGGAAGTAGGGACAAGAAGCAAATGTCATGGTTGCCTGGCCTGCAAGGATCTTATAATTCAGATGGGCAACAAGTGCAAACACATATGAAGCAAATAAGAAAACAACAGAGTATACAGAGAGTGTGATAAGCTTATTGTGGGGCGTATGTAACAAGTACAGTAGAAGGGCGAGATTGGTAGGCTGCAGCCTCTGGGAAGACTGGAGTGTTTAGGAGGGGAGAGAGGTCAAATGACATAGTAGTATGCCTGGAACAAGATTGCCTGAATTCAAATCCTGGGTCCACCACTTAACTGGCTATGTAACCTGGGCAAAATTACTTAGAATTTCTTTGCGCTTCTGTTTCTTTGTCTGTTAATCGGGGAAAATAATATCTACCTCATAGGATTGTGTGGATTAAATGAATTAACACATCCTAGGTATGTAGGCCAATGTACCTGCCATGCAGTGAGTTTTAATACATTTTAGCCATTATTTAAACTTCATGGAAAAGGTAAAACTCCCTCATTGGGAAGTTAAAACAAGGCATCACGTATTGGAGCCTTACAGGGTAGATGGAATTCAGATACGCAATGAGGTGAGGAAAACTATCTCAATAATATTCATAAGTTATAAGGTTTTATATTCATGTCTCCGGATAAAACACTTAAAAAATTATAAATAGAAACCGAAGTTATTTTCCTTTTCCATATTTTAGTTTATAATTTCAGCAAAAGCTTATGCTGAATTTTGTTGTTTTTCTTCAGCCAGAGTTCCTTGTACAGAGAAAAGGTTATTTTCTGTTTACTAATAGCTGAATTCTTAAAATACTAGATGTGTTAGAAGAGGCTTAGTCCAAGCAAAACTTTTAACAAAATCAGTATTTTTAAAATTTTTTTATTAAGTGGGTCTCGGAGAGAGAGAGTGGGTGAAGCTGGAGTGAGGGTGGGAGGAGGGTTTCCAGTTAAATGGGAGTTTTATTTGAGTATTGTGTGAGGGTCAGTGGAGAATGAATCTAAAAATGTTGCTAGCAGTTTGTAGAGAGGAAGGACATTGCTGTATTGAGGCTCCTGGTGGTAACCTGGGGAATTGAGCCCATGGCTACCTGAGGGTTTCATTGATTACTTGAAAGCTTCTGACCATGACCTGGAGCCAGTGAGACCTCTGATCTGCTTCTCAGCTTACCTAAATGGATCACTTCAGTGCAAGAGTGGCTTGCGGCTGCTGCCTCCGATGCAGAAAATAAGATAGATGGCTTCCTGGACACAGAACTCCCAGTATACACAGGAGGGTGGGGCGCTCGAAGCAGTCTGATTTAGATTTATTAAAATTTCTTTTGGTACATGATGTAGCATTATAATGACAATAAAAAGGTACTAAAAACATCTGGAGTTGCAGTATTCCAGGAGCTCCTTTTCTCTACACATTTCCTTTCAGGTTTTGTCTTGAGTCATTGGTACCAAAAGATACTATAACAACATTAAGAAGATTTTTTTAAAAAATGAAAAATCTGTTTTCTCATTATTTTAGCTTTATTTCTTTGCATAATACTTTACATTTTTTGCCTGCATGATTCATTACTTTTTTCAGAGGCATTCACAGTATACCATATTGTATTTCTGCTTTTTAACATTTATTTAGGATTATGTAAAAAATCTTTTTTTGTCTCTTTTTTTATTAAAAGAATTATAAATTTTTTGAGTTCATATTGTTTCATGTCTGTACTGTACTTATTAAACTGTTATCCTATGTTAAACATGTCTGGTTATATGTGATAGTTCATTGTTGATTGTATCTCTTCCTCCACCTCTGAATCTAGAACACATTGAGAAATATAGAAGCCAGATGGAAATAAAAATTTAGCTTTATTCAACCATATTGGAGAACATAATTGATCTGTGGCCAAATGGACATCCTAAGTCTATATAGGATGACTCATCTAAGAATTAGAGGTTGCGGAGCAGTCATTCATACTCAGAACTATTTCTTTTGAATTTGTGTAGCTTCCTAATACGTGAACCCCATCCATTGGAGAAATGAATGAATGAATGGTGAATCAGCAGATGTCAGGCTCTTGTCACTCACCAATCAGATACATCACTCCTCTGGTAGAGAAGAGTAATGAGGAATGAATGAAGAGGTCAGAGATGGAAATGAGAGATCTGATTCTTCCTTTTTCACTTTGGGTTTAGTAATTTAAGCCTGAAGTTAGCAGGGGTGTGGGAATAGTGACTGTCACAGCTGGGGGAGATCAGTAATACGTAAGAACAGTTTTGCCTTTACCTTCATAAAGAAGGACTGTCTCCAGTACCAACTCTGTTCTTTTTTGTGTGCTCCTGGGACCTGTGGAGAAGGCTCTGAAATGGTAAAGAACAATATAAAGTAAATTACTAAACAAAATTGTTGATATTCTATTTTTGACCTACAGAAATGGCAATTTTATTATTTTTTTTTTAAAGAAATTTATTTATTTTAGAGAGAGTGCACTTGGGCAAGGGAGCACAGATGGGCTGAGGGAGAGAATCTCCAGCAGATTCCCCACTGAGCACAGAGCCTGACGTGGGGCTTGATCTCACAACCCTGAGATCATGACCTGAGCCTAAATCAAGAGTCTGACACTCAACCAACTGAGCCACCCAGGCATCCCCCAAAAATGGCAATTTTAAATGATTCAATCTAGTAAAAAGAAGTTAAAGATTTTAAACCGTCCTTACCCAGGTTAACCATCCTTTACCTGTTTGCTATTCTTCTCAGTCTCAGCCAGAGGGCTTGCACTCAGATGCCAGTAGCAACCTGGATTGAAAAATTCAACCAAATCTTTCGTGTGTCTCATTTTTTGAGCAGTTGCAACCTGGATTGAAAAATTCAACCAAATCTTTCGTGTGTCTCATTTTTTAGTGTGAAGACTTAAAAGAGCTCATTTCATGGTACCTGCTTCACATCCAGTCCATTTGGAAATGTCAAGTAAAACTCCTGAGCTTTTCGCAGTTGTTGAAAAAATAACTCTTTCCATAATTGAGTGCATATAAGTTCACACCAATAACCACAAATTAGCAAAGACCACAAACTTAATGGTAACTGAAGGAAAAAGGATAAAACAAAATATTCTTGGTG